TTTGCCTCAGTCATGTCTGAAAAAGGTGCCAAGGTTCGGTGACATGAGCACTTACAGCAAGTTTCTCGAGGTCCTCTAATACGCTAGTTTCCCTTAATTAGGGTACCCCAACGTAGACCCCAAAATACTGTAGTCCTTAATATGGGACTCCTAAAAAGGTACCCCTCATTTCAGGAAACCACCATACAGCTGTTCTTAGATTCTCAGAGCCTAGGCCCACTTCCAATAAGAGGCCTTCCTGCCATGACATGAAGCATCAAGCCCACAGAAGATTGCTGCAGCAGGAGAATTCCCAGGTAGCTGATGTGGGCCGGGCGCTGTCTTCGGAGAATGCCGCTTGACGAAAGATACATCCTCCCTGCGCAAGCTCAAGACACATAATCAGATAACCCCGCTGCCGCCACTGTTTGGAAACGAGTCGTTTTGAGGTCTTTCAGACGCATAGCATAGGCAAAGTAGTGTACTGGCGAGTGCACCATGCTTGAGCACTGCAGCCGAAACCTGGGGCAGCAATCGCTAATTTCAAATGTAGATACATCCCAAAGTCAGAGTCTCTAAAAACATGCCTGCCAAGCCCAGGAGAAGCTGCAGCTGGAGCTTGCACAGAGCAAGGAGGAACCAACAGTGACTGGTGGGCCTTTGGCCTTTTGGGTAGGAGTCTGCTATGATGGGGACCCGAAGAAACAGAATAGGGATTCGCGGCATATTCCACTAGAACTGTATCAAGATGGGGGTTACATGGAAATATTCACAACTAAGGACCTCCTTTTCTAGAGAACCCTCCCAAAGGGTTGGCTCTGGGGCAGTGCAAAGTGCGTGGTCCTTTTTTGGGCCAATCTTAAGCAAAGAGCACTACAGTACTGGTAGCAGAGACCCATTCTTGGAACCAACCCTGTAACCCCCAAACCCTGTCAATCCAACTTTAGAAGATGACCAGGTAAGACCCTATAGTCCCTGGTAATTACACATTGCAGATAACACTGGTGTTTCCTACTATGCTCGGCTAGCTTGTGTCAGGTAGTGCTACTAAACCCTAAACCCTGAATCCTAAGCCCTAAATCCTAACCCCTAAACCCAGGTACTGATTTTACAAATTCTTGAAAATACGAGCCCAAGCGGCTTCATTATTGGGGTTAAGGGTTAGGGGTTTCAGCCTTCAGCATGAAATCCTTTCGCGATCCCAGAAGCAGCAGGATTGCTATTTTCCACCAAGGGAGTTCCCCTCAAAGACAATGCAATCTTGGAGCTGACCCTAATTCCCAGACACAACAGAGAACGCCACAAATCCGAAGAAAACAACCCAAAGCGAGAAAAGTAAAAGGAGCTAAAGTCCCTGAACGCCGTGGTGGAGCGGTGTTTGTCAAAGATGGAAGCCGACCCTTGGTCCTGGGTTAAGGGTTTATGGAAGCGGGAATTTGCAATTAGCTTTTTTTGTCCCTTAAGTCCCATGTATTCTCAGCTTGAGAGTTTAGGGTTTTGGGGGACCCCATAACCAGGAATAGTAAATTGTGGACTATTTTGGGGCTCGCAGCTTCCGGAAACCCTCCACTACACGTTGTGGTGGGTTTCTCTCTCCCAAAGAAGCATGGAAGCTGTGAGAATACTGTGGGGACTATGTGTTAGTGTAGAGGCGCGTAGACAGTTTTCTGGGTCATTATGCTAAGACTTCATAGCAAACCAACACTTTGAATGTTGTATTCTTCAACTCTGAGCAGCAAGAATCTATCACAACTGCAGTGGCTCTCGCCTTCAGCCGTGCCATTACGAATACATAATGCGAGCTTCTCCCACTTTGGGACATTAAACTCAAGCAATTCCTCGTCCATTCGGAAATGGTGGCGTCGCTTCCGTGAAGGGGCTGGGGGAGGGGCAAAGTTTAGACATATTCAGACCCCAAATATACGATCCTCCTGATTAGAGGAACCCTTAAGTGGGTGCCAATTTTTTGCAAACCCTAACACCTATAGACCCTTACCTAGCTCTAGGCATCGCCTAGAATACCCTGTATACAAGAAGGAACCCCTAACTGCTTTTGGAAACCCCAAAAAACTGTGACCTTCCTCCTTACACCCTAAACCCTAAACCAACCTAAGCCCGGAACCCTACACTTGAAACCAACCTACACCAAAAACCTTAAACCCTAAACCAACCTACACCCTAAACACACCCAAGCTGGAGGAGAGTCGTGAGCGACCTTTCCTTGTTGACAAGCGCATGGCTACTGGGCTCTGGGTTTGAAAAAGGGTGATATATGGGTTTAGGGGTTTAGGGTTTAGGGATTAGGGGTTAGGGTAATTAGGTATATTATTGGGGTTATGTAGGGATAGTGGAAAAGAAAATGGAAACTACTAATTAGGGTTTGGGGTTTAGGGTTTACGGTTTAGGGTATAGGGCTTGGGGTTGGGGGTTTAGAGTCACAGTGTAGGTTGGTTTAAGGTTTACGGGGATGATATCGGGGTATAAACGGATTGGCAGGGGTATATAGGAAACTAGAGGACACACTGGAAACTGAGTTTTCGTATCATTTACACGGGTTTTGGGTAACAAGAGATGCCAAGCAACAGCTGCCAAGCAACAGCTGCCATACACTCTGCATGACCCCGTTTGGAGCCTATGCGAAGCAGAATGGAATCCTCCAGAGCCTGAGAACCACGAATTCTAAATCATAAGCTCCTAATTTGCCTTGCCTGCCGTGCTATCCAGATGTCTTTCCCAAGGTGCGAGGCTCAAACACTTGTTGCAGGTTCAGTGCGTAGCGAGTTTAGGGCTCATGGCGAGCGCTCCGCTGTTGCAGAAGAAGGCAGTCTCAGGGGTGTATAGGGTCAGGGATGAGAGCTGTGGAAAATACATTATAATACACTATAAATCACTTGAACATGCTATAATATGTTCTAAGATATTGAAATTTACAATGATAATACTCACGTCCGGGCTTGGGGCTGGAGGTCTAGAGATTCTCCGATTTGATAGCTAGGCTTGAGAGGCCTAAATATAGGGTTTGGGACTCGGGTATTACTTTGGATAAGAGTTTACGATCTTCGGCCCACTGAAGGCGCATTTTTTTTGTCTTGCCGTCTGGCGGGTCAGAGTGACTCCGTTTGATTCTGCGTGGGCCCTGTTGCCGTGCTTAGGGTTTTTTTGCCCAAGAGGCCGTGGTCTATGTAACCCGCACCCGCTAACAAAAAGGTTTAAGCCGAACCTTAGCCCAAAATCCTGAACTGAAACCCCAGTTCGAGGCAGGACACTCCAAGGCTTCGATTTTCTATGGTGCCGACGAGTACTTGGAAGAGCTGAAGAAGAAGTACGCGCCTAGAGCAGGTTTGAGTGACACATGGGTTATTCTCAACATTGTGAGCCCCTGTCGAGTACAAAATATTTTACGGCACCTAATATTTAGGGGCCCCCCAAAATAGGACCCTAATTTGGGGAACTACCCACATGCAAGGCAAGCCCGGTATTTTCGAGCTTCCTAGCAGGCTAGAGGATCCCTACTGCTGATTCTAAGCATCCTGAGTAACCGTGTACTGTATGTAATTCTGGAGTGAGACAGAACGTACTTAAGGTTCTGCAGGATTTCTAATAATGTAGACCCCTCATTAATAAACCAGCCTTTTATTAGTGGTGGTTATAATAGGGTTCCTCATATTAAGGCCCTTCGAAGGAGGGGTTTATAAATCATGGATCGACATTATCCACCGTAAGGAACTCTACCCAAGCTCAACACGCCAGCTCTAAACCCTAGGCCACACCGGAAGTTCCGAACCTTCCCGGCTGGTTGCGCGAATACCCCAAGCTATAAGCCCTAGAGGCCCTATACATCTGGGCGTTCAGAGCCCTCAAGAGCAACTTGTGCAATCCAGCTTTGAAATGTGTATGCTTAGAATACGCAGTAGGTACTATTACTACTGCTATTATTAGTATGATGGTATTATTGGTACTATTATTACCGCTATTATTAGTATGATTGGTATTATTGGTACTATTATTACTGCTATTATTAGTATGATGGTATTATTGGTACTATTATTACTGTTATTATTAGTATGATTGGTATTATTGGTACTATTGTTACTGCTATTATTGGGATGATTGGTATTACTACTGCTTTTGGCTTAGGAGCGCGATCACGAAATCGCAACCTTGAAGAGTGCCCAGCCGGATGAGGGCGACCCGCACGCGGAGAATGTGAAGAAAAGTAAGGAGCGCGGCATCGGGCTTAGTGTTGAGAGGGCGATGTACGGATTCTGGAAACTTACCGGTTCTTGGCTGAGAATAAGGGAACACAATCCCCATGTAATCCCTAAATGATATATTCGCTTATTCCCTACTAAGCCCCAGTAAGGAACTGGTGTTCGGGGTCCTATGCCCAGGGTTCATGTTGAAGTTTCTCAAAACACAAAAGACCCCCGCGTACTGGAACACCTATTCTCGGGACCCCCAAGAAGGTACCCCCCAAATTTTGAGAAACCCCCATTTAACAGCGAGGACAAGATCCTGTCCGTGGAGAAGAATGACGAGAACAGGAGTCTGAAGACCGGCCGTCTCTTCCCGATACCGCACCTGAGTTGGCCTTTGGTATAGGGTTTGGGGTTGTAGGCTTTAGGATTTAGGATTTAGGGTTTACGGTCTAGGGGGTTGGCCTTTGGGTAAGAGTAGCTTCCAAAATAAGAGCCCCCTTCAAGTACCCCTGTAATTGCTGTAGGGGCCGTTAGTTCATCTATAACCAACCGCTTTGGTTTAGGGTTAAGGGTTTAGGATTTGGGGTTTAACGGTTTAGGGGGTTGGCCTTTGGGTAAGAGTAGCTTCCAAATACGAGCCCCATTTGGGTACCCTTGAATATTGCTGTAGGTGCCGTTATATTTCATCTATAACCAACCGCTTTGGTTTAGGGTTTGGGGTTTCCCTTCATTAGTCTCATGAGAATTTTAAATATACTCGAGATTTTAGGCTAATATTTTACAAAGGGCTCTAAAGGCCAATCAAGGAACAAGCCCGATCCCATGCCGCCGCAGCTCGCGTTCTTGTTCACCAAGATCACCCCTGAACTTCGGCGCTTCTTACGAAAATCCATTTAACTCTGAACTCTCAACCCTAAGCTTCAAGGCAGATCTGAACTTCTTGAATCTGCCATATTTTCGCTGTGACGTTTTTTTCTTCTGATTCTGATTGCGCACTTTGCTCTCGTCTTCTCGTCTTTGTAGCAGGAGTTGGCTAGAGGAGGGCCTTAGGCTTTGGGGGCTCTCGACTTGTCATCATGTATGCCAACTTGAAACTCCTTGAACCTTCTATCTCTGAACGAACCGATTCCAAGTGATGCCCAGCCCACGATCTGCGCGAAAAAGGAGCAAATGATTTATATGTGGAATGTTCTGACCACGATCTTCATCGTTCAGTGCCTGATGATCCTGAGCTATTGCTTTGCACTGGCATCATTCCCAGATCATTTCTGGACCTGCACACTCTGCTTCGCCGTGCCCTTTGCATACATCTGCATCCAGCAAATCTATATCGATCACGACGTGACTTGAAGAGTTCAGACACACAATGTTTTTTTGGCTTATCGCCATTTCCAGCGTGGATTGACCCTTTGCCATGGGAGTCTTATGATATGTGCTTCCACTCCCATCTTCTATCAAACTCAATCGATAGACTATCGGTTGGTAGGACGATAAGCCCCAGAAACATGAAAACGTCCACAGCTCGCTAGGCTTCCCCTACGCACCTTACCAGTGATCAAGAGCTATAACAGGTGATGCATGGCGTTACCTTCCCGCCGTACGAGTTCCAGAAATTCCTCACGCACCCTTTCTCGGACTTCCTGTCACTTCCCTGGGAGGATGCCAGTACACACTCGAGCCCTAGAAAGACTCGCCCCCCATTGGAAACTCCCCTCCTGTAGCTTGTCCTAACACGCACATGCTCAGTAGCCTGTTCTGAAAAACATGACCAGTACGTACTGTACCAAGCCAAAGGTGCTTACACTAAACCGCAAAACCCTACACTCTAAACACTGAGTCCTTGTTCTTTGACTGTGCATAATCGAAATCTATGACTTGCAGGATGTCCTCATAGCCCTAGAAGCCTGGTTAGGGTGTAGGGTTTACTTCTTAAGGTTTAGGGTTTAGGGCTGGTTCTGCAGAGTTTGCAGTGCTTAGCCACAATCCCACAGGAGTTTGTTTTGGAGCATGCGCGCCACCATGCAAGCACTGTGGATCTGCTGATGCAGGGCGAGTTTGGTTGGGACCCCGAGGATCAGGGGTTCCAGGGTTTTTGGGAATGGGCTTCATGGGCTTTGAGATAGCTTTGAATTTCACAGGCTTTCCAGTTCGCTCTACGGCCGCTCTCTTGAAGTTGTTTGGCAACCATTCTCCCAATAATGCACTTGAACAGTCAGCCAACACTTGCGTAGTATTTTATTTGGGGATACTATGGTACCCACTATAGAGTAAGATTAGATCCTCCCTTTGGGGTATAGCATATTATAGAAGGAATACAACCTTACTGGGTTTAACCACAAAAAACGCTACTCACTTGTGCACTTTGCCTGCGTGCAGAAGCGCGCATCCCTTCAGGAGTTCCACTACACGCTGCAGCAGTGGGCAGGACCCATGGGCCCTAACTGGTACAAGTGCCTGGCTCAATCTTGGTGAATATTCTATTGACATTTTGAAGAAGTGTCGCGTATGTCTACCACTAAGGAAGGCTTGCACAATAGTACAACCGGCAAGACCCAAGAAGAATTCAAGTTGAGTACTGCCCCCCCGCCCAGTCAAAGTCTGTCACAGGGTTCCTGACAGGGACTATGGACCGATAAAGTGATTATTCTCCAGCAGAGCAGTACCCAAGATTCCAGATGGTCTTTCATACTGGCCTGAGAAAGACAGTCTGAATCCCAATCGAATCACTACAACAACTCTATTGGGTGGACAGCTACAAGAATTCCGACTCACAAAATTGAACAAATTCCACAAGTTGCGTTACGCACCCTCTTTAGGTCTTGCATAGGTCTGGTAAGCTTGAGTTTCTGTCATCAACCGTATGCAGTACCCAGGTACCTGCTGACCGTTCCATGGATCCCGGTGATCCATTTTTTCGGCCTCAATGACACACGGCCGTTCTTAAGTGGGTCTCTTGCGTTTCATGGCATGAAAGTAAAATGGGAACCCCATACTGGGAACCCCAAGAACATAGTAGGAATATAACAGGACTATACCTACCGGGGCCCTTATATTTTTACGACTGTATTCTTGCGGTTGCCTATTTGGGGTCCCCACTTTATGACTTTAACGGTAGATTGCAGTGCCATGTAGGAATGGGAAGTGTTTGGTGCCAACTTCTATAGAATCCCAGTTTCCGTGTCATTTTCCAGTATCTTTCCATTTGGTGCTCCATCAATTGGGGGAGACATCTCCAGAATATCCCCACATAACCCTAAACGCTACAGACCCAATCCTAAAACCCCACAATCTTTTCGGTGATCCCCTTAAGCCCCGACCCCTTCTTAAATGAGCCGTGCAGGAAAAAGCCCATCCCCAAGTAGAGGGAACTTACGGTGAAAGGTTAAGGTTCAGGGTTGGGGGAACTTCGCGGATAATCTTTTGAGGCCCAAAACACATGAAGGTATGTAGCGTCCTTTTTTGAAGCTCACAAACCCTCAGCGGAATGTCCCAGAGATTCAGCCACTTAACCTTCACCAACCTAGACCCCAACCCCTAAAACCTACACGTTTCACAGATCCGGGGCTTTTTATGGTTGTGGGTAAGTCCAACAACTTGTAGTTGAACAGCAAAAGCCCACACCCTGCGCCCTCGACTTTGAAAAGATCCAGGACACAGGCTCGCTTTTCGCTTTGGAGTGGTGGATGAGCTTTCCAGAGGCCGACGCCAGCGGTAAATGCAACAAGGAGCTCGAAACATTTTAATTTTGATCAGGGCTTAGAACAGGATTTAAAATCATGCTGTTTCAGGGCTTAAGGATATAGAGTTTCAGGGTTTAGGGTTATAAAGGGCCTGGATGCCAAAAAAAGGGCTTACGATTCAGGGCTTACACATGTTGGTTGTCAAGCTCGCTGCGTAGCGTTAAAAAAAAAGGAACGCTCGGCTTGCTTTGTAGGGACATTTGTATAAGTCTGGCAACTATACCCATTATTTTTTACAATGGTCCCTACTGTTACAGGAGTTTTGGTCGAAGTGGTTCCCGCGCCGCGTGAAGCACAATGCCTTTGTGTGGTTCATGTGGACCCTGGTCTGGCTCTTGGGCACCTACCCCCTTGGTCGGCCGTTCCTGGGATCATACAGGTTTAGTACGCTGCTGTTGAGAGACTTAAATTGAGCTACCAGTTACCAGTTGGGGAACCGAGCTATTTTTGATGTGCCCATAACAGGGAACCTGAATTTACCTCGCAGCAACCTAGTTAAGGGTTCGCGGGGCCGTATTTCATGAATGTATATACGGATCTACCCATAAGGGGGGAGGGTGCAGGCTCAGCGAGGGTTGGCGCTTCGTCTTGCCGGTGACATGTGCTGCACGAACTGGCTTCTCACTGGCCTGGATGTTCCTTGAACTCTCTTACCCTGGAACTTCAAAGCCAAGAGTTGCAGTTAGGGTTTAGGTTCTGGGTTTATTCTGTGCTCAGGGAATCAGGGGTATAGAGAGCGGTGATGTTTGAAATGGCTATGCAGAAGTCAGTCGTCGTAATTCTGACCAACAAGCCCCCTCTGCTCCACATGCCTACAACACAAAGTTCCCTCCAGCCCCTCAACTAAATTTGGTTTCCGACAATTAGGCATACCTTTTGCGGGGTCCCTATAACAAGGATTATAGTATGTTGGGGCCTGTATTGAGATTCCCCTATTCAAGGAAGATACCATGTGTGTAGTATATGTGTAGAGTCAGATTCGGCGCCAAATTCCTCATGCCATTCATAGCACCTCAAAAGGAAATCTCAGGTCGGGCCCCTATCCTGCTCGGATGGTTTAGGGTTAGGGTTCTTACTTAGGAGGACCCCCCACCCTGTAATAGTGGTATAATAGGAATATAAGAGGACCCTAAAATGATCCTTACTATTCCGTATAGTCACTATTACTGGGTGGGGGGTCCACCTAAGTAATTACCCAGGCATGGAAAGTCAAACGGAAGACGAAAGTGGAAAATGAAATAGAACCTACTACTATTTAGGATTTAAAGATTTAGGGTTTAGGTTTCTTCTTGTATTCACGAATGCGTGGACCTATAGGCTACGTCTTGTGAGGTTGCTACTATCGGCCTTGAGCCATTTTCCTGATGAGTACGTGCAGGGTCTCAACTTGGGGGGGAATATAGTATAGTGACCACGCCAACCACGCACCCCATAGTTGTGACCTTTGTCATCAAATTTTGCTTAGGTTCATTACCAACTTTACCCACAGTTTGCCGTGGAACAAGTTCTTGGAGAACGATCCTGGCCGCACGTGGCCAGTGCTCCACAACGTTCCTCGGTGCTTTTTTTTCCTTTGAAAGATGGATGGGACCCTTTTGTGAGCATCCCGAGATTTGGGGGGTGAAGCTTTATGCCTTTATGGCATAGAACACTAGACTTACGCAAGGGCCATGCTAACACATCGAGCATGCAAAGTTCAAGCACTGCATGAGCTCCATTGGGATGCGACATAAATAGGATCTTTGTCCAGGGTACTGATGGGGCTACAAAAACCTCAAAACCAACTTCCTGATCGGTGCCATTGGGGTAGTGGATTTTTCTTTTAATCCCTATATCATCCCTACATATACCCCTATAGCAGTCCCTATATATATATATATATACTCCCCCACTTCCCCTTTAGCACCACTAAGATTCCCGAAGCCTGCGCTCTGACTACAGGTTATGGCGCTGGCCGTGGGAGGCAAGCACCGCTGGAACGAGATGCTCTTCCATGACGTCCATCACGCCTTTCCGAATGCTCTTGGCACCGGGCCTCTGGTTGACTTGCGTTTACATGTTACATGTTTGGCACTAGGTGTTCAATATGCGGATATGCCGATGAATCAACATGGACGGAGCTTTTGTGGCTGCTATTACGCTGTTCGCGAATGTGACAACCCCTGCCGCAGTCACAACCACCATTGGCGCCGACTCCGTCACTGCTCACTTCCACCATGCGCATCACCGCTGCAGTGGCTACAGCCACTGCACGGCATCACCGCCAACACTGGCAATGCTACTGCCGCCGCCACCGCCACATGCCATTACCGCCGCCACCATCACCAATTCTACACCTTCTCAATCCCCAAAGATGCCATACGTTTGCTCATCTAATTTCTTCAAACGCATAGCATCCATGGCCTCAAGAACACTCGTAACATTCCGATATAACCCCTAGACCCTATAGCGCTGGCGCTGGCCCCTATTTGTACAATCATGCATCGCTGAGCCAAAGGGGAGGCAGGCAAATGAAGTTCCACTTATCCACAGGAATTTCTTGCAAGCTCATCTGCTGATTTCGAGGCCTAGACACAAAAATCCAAACTTTGTTTTTGACCTCGATTACCTTAGGGATCCAAGTCGACAACAAATGATACGCACATTGGGCCCTAAAGTTTGTAAACATGACCTACATTGGGCTATTCGGATCCCTATACATCCCTCCATTTCATTTTCCATTTGCGTTTGATTCTCCATTGTTAGGGTAATACATTGGGCTACATTGGGCTATTTGGACCCCTAAACCCTCACTCTCAAACCCTAAACTATGAAGCCCTACACCCTCAATTCCTGAACCCTGAAACCCTAAAACCTAAATCCCTAAACCCTAATCCCTAAACCCTAATCCCTAAACCCTAAACCCCCCTGGACCCCAGGTACCTTGAGTCAGCGAGGCCGCTTCCACGGCTGGAAGAAGGTCCACGACGCTGCTGTCGAGGCGCATGGTCTTCAAATTGGGATATAGTCTAAACTCCTGAAAGGGGGGTTATAGGGCTTGGGATTTAGGGTTTAGTGATTTAGGAATTTGGGATTTGGGATTTGGGGTTTTCCCAAAATTAGGGGTACCTTTTTTGGGGGTCCTTATAATCAGGACTGTAGTATTTTTGGGTTCATGTTGCGGTTCCCTTATTTTGGGAAACGACCATATAGTCTAAACTCCTTAAAAGGGGGTTATATAGAGGATTATAATAGGTTGTAGGGCTTAGGGCTTACAATAGGGTTTAGAGTTTGGGGTCTAAACTCCTTAAAGGGGATTGTATGACGCGCGGCTTTTTATTGGTCAGAGGAGAAATGTAAAGGATGGACACTGGATTGTCACGGAGGGGTTTTGATTGGAAAACGTTAAAACACTCACCAAAACGATAACGTCAACACATGCACCGAAACCTGGAAAACGATAGCACAGTCACCAATTTCCAATGACCAGTAGCCCAGACAACGAATAAAAACCGTGCATCATATAGGGGACTACAATACGGGATATTGATGGGGATACTAGGAGTTTGGACTGTGGCTCAAATGGGGATGATGAGGTGTGTTTAGGGCTATGTGGTGAGGGGTTAATGGCGCTTTCAAGGGAATACATACGTGTCGCCTTTTGTGGCTATGGCCAAACTAGGGACATGAGGATTTGTGCAGGGGTTATGGAGTAGTCGGGTGAGTTCGGAGAGTGGCGCCCGCAGATGGGAAGCTTAGAGTAACGTTTAGTAGAACTGAGGTGCAACTGTTTGAGAAGGATCCCAGATTCCAATGCGGAGTTCCAAGCCCTAAACCCTTTCATCATACCTCTCATGTTCTACTGAGTATCATCCGATGGGCTGGTCCACCAACATATTTGACCCAACTCTTAGTTTTGAAGCAGGTAAAAGTCCTGTGGTTATCATAACAAGAAGCCCCCAAACTCTCAAACCCTAAGCCCGTCATCACAAAGATGTGCTGTCAGGTCTTGTACCGCGGCCTCTGGCGAGAGAATGGAGATGAGGAGAGTGTGTTTAGAGCGCTTTAGGCCAAGTCCCCCCTAGAAATATTACCCCGCCCCAGATATTGAACATTCCCTGGTGGTATACCATAGCATCTTGGGAATATGCTATTATTCCAGGATATTAGGGGGACGGGGTGTTCACATTCGGGTGAGGGGTTCCCTATTTGGCAATCCATGCCGGTTTTGACATGAAGGGATTGGCTGGGAATATCATGCAGTCTAAAGAGTATCTACGAAAGAGTTAATTCAGAATTCAAGAGAATTTTCTGTGTTTTTAAGTTTGTGTCCGTTGGTAACGTATTGTGCTGACTGTTGTTCTTACTATGGTTTCTCAGGGCCTTTGGTTTAACCGCAGACTTGGGACGTAGGGAGTAGGGTTCTCGATTCAGGGCTTACAGTCTTTGCATCTTTGCGATCCAGTGTTTAAGGTAGGCCCTAAACCCTAAACCGGCTGTCAGTGCTTGAGCAGTACAGTCGCTTGATGAGGAGACAGAGATGCAGAAGAACGCCAAGAAGAGGTCCATGCTGATGAAGCAAGGGGCAAGCAAGTGAGCTTCGGTGGAAAGCCAAGGCATACCTGTATAGCGGTTTAAGGTTTAGATCTTCCTGTACTTGGAAGGGTCAGGCGGACTTAGTAAGTAAGTAGCTTAGGAATGGGGATAACCGGGGTTGTTCTCAGTTCTCATTTGGCTTATAGGGGTTCTGTGCATTTTTAGGCAGATCCTACACCCTTACCCCTGTTCCAATAGAAGGAGGCATCCCGATAGTCTACTGGCCGCTGCTAGCCTCCTTCCCAGATTCGTGGGCGAACTTTTGAGGGGCTTCTAGTTTCTAGATCTCCCCAGGGTCTGGGTACCTGTATTATCCAGATGGTAGTTTTCCAAAATGGGGGACACCAATTTTAGGCACTCCCAGAAAGGTATCTCTAATTTTGGGGAAGCCCTCCATACATTCCTAGAACCCAACCCCAAACCCCTGGAACCCATATATCTACCGCTAGCAGATTGAGCCCTGCACCTTGCGCTTTTGTGATCTTACTCTGAGCAGACCGTGGGTCATTCTGAGGGGCGAGTCTTACCGACGCAGGCCCTATGGGTCTCATGATAGCTAAGCCTTTCCATAAGGACCCCAGGGTTTAGGGTTTAGGGCTGAGGGTTAAAAGACACCCCCTCCAGAATGATCCTGAAAGGTGATGAATCCTGGTTGTCCGTGCTCTGTCATGGTACATCCGGGGTCGTTTTTGTACGCACCCATTCCAAGACACGTGCCTGGGAAAGCTGTTCCGGAATGACGGACCACAGCTAAGCCGCGCGGTGTCACCAGCAGGCTGCCTGCAGTTTCGTGGGTTCCTAAGATTACATGTACGATGGTCTAAACTCCATCAACGGGATTAGTTATACAAGGCATTAGCTATGAGACTAGAATAGGGTTCTAAGGGGAATACTAGGAGTTGAGACTCTAGCTTACGTAAGGGAGCTCTGTTCCACACATGCGTATACTGCAGCAAAATAAGATAACCCTAAGGGTCCAAGGACTCAAATAATGGGGTTTGGGGGCCCAAATACTATAACATTAATGGTATTTGGGCCCAAAAACCCTATTTTTTCGAGTCCTTGGACCCTTGGGGTAATGTTCCGCGCAAGCAGTGAGTGCTAGCAGTGAGTGCTCGCAGTGACGGAGGTCATGCTGGCAACAGCTCGCTCTGGCAGTGGCAGCAGTGGAGCTTTCCTTGGTAGCAGTACAACCCTGCATGGTAGTTTCCCAAAAAGGGGCACCCCCCAACCCAAATACCATGGTGCTTTTTATGGGGACCCCCAAAATGGTACCCCTAATTGAAGGAAACCCTAAACCCTATGTCCCCCATGATATTCCTATAGAACCTCTATATCTCCACGGCAGGTACCCCTAATTTCAGGAAACCCCATATACTTCCAAATCCTGCACAAACCTTACAACATACGACATGTTGACCTGAAAGTGCAGGAAGGCCTGGGCGTGCAGAGAATTAGAGTCAAGCAGCTGCCAGCACCCAATCCAAGGCTTGGCGTGGCAGGCGGCTGCTGTGCATGACGGGGATTCCTCAAACCATGGGGTAGTTCCGAAAATTAGGGTCCCGTTTTGGTACACCTGCATATTTGTTGCAGTAATATAATCTATAACCAAGATAGGCTCATGATTTTTGAGAACAAGCCTATGGACCTCATCTTATCTCCTGAGCTTTGAACCCTCGAGTATTTGGATCAGAAACGGGAATGTTTGCGGCAGTCCCCATGCATTCGTCTGCACAGCCCTTTTGGAAGGGCCAAGTAGAGCAGACAATGGAATTAAGCGAGAGATTGTTTTGAGCTGCTCGAAAGAAGTGTCCTCCTCCCGATGCTGTCTGAGGGGTCCAGCGGAGTTTCCCCTCAAGAATCCTGATAGACTCCAGAAGAGCCCCCATGATCCTGTGTGGATTCACATATCCCAAAGCTTTGCAAGAGTACCACGATTTTGGGTAAACCCTCTACCCATCTCAATCCTGAAGCCCAGTCTACAAGTCTACATGCGATATCTCCGCATCGTTGTGATCCTTCACATGTCTCGGGTGCTAGTGACGCCGTTCAGCAGCAGATGCCATGCCAGATGCCTCGTGCACCAGGCGGCCAGGCAATGTCCAAAAGCACAAAGACAATTGAAAGGGTTTTATGGGTAGTTCTCAAAACTAGGGTCCTATTTTGGTACCCCTAGATAATGGGTGGCGTAATATATTCTACCCAAAAGGCCCAAAAGGGGCCCATAGTTTTGAGAACAACCCTTGTTACGCGGAAACCTGTTTCTTCAGGGCCTTGATTCTGCCCGCAGGTTCTGGGCTTGAGAAACACAACGCGGCAGCCCTTATGGCTGGGATACTTGCAGTCGAAGCCAACAGAGCTAACCCCTAGGCCTCCAAACCCCCAAACTCTACAGCTCATTCTTAAGTTACTGGTTGTTCGTAGGCAATGAGGGAATATAATCCCTACATAACATAATCCCTATACAGCATATTCCTGCACTCCCTGCAACTCCCCAGTAGAGTTAAGACAACTCTGAAACCAGAATCCCTAAACTCAAAGGTTCAGCGGCTCCTACTACGTTCCCAAAAGCCATTATTAACAACTTGAAACCAACATCCCAAAATCCCGAGTGCTAACCTCCACCCCACGCCAGAGCTGAGCCCCAAAACCCTAGAACAGGGCTCTGAACAAATGAGTAGTATTTTATTTGGGGCTACTCTGGTGCCCAATATAGAGTAAGATTATATCCTCCTTCTGGGGTATGGTATTTTATTTGAGGAATATAATCTTACTAGGATCAACCACCAAAAAGAACACTA